AATTTTTTTTTTCCTGAATCCAAACTGGAGGGTTGGTATTTTGAGCCGTTATAAATGAATACAGTCATCTTGTACAGAGTTTCTCAAAGATTTTGGATAGCAATGGTAAGTTAGATATTGGCCTATAGTTGTTTTTAAGTCTGTAGGGTCACCACCTTTATGTATTGGTGTAACCCTTGCCATCTTGAGTAGTTTCGGGAAGGTGCTAGTCTCTATTGCTTGTTAAAAAGTAATGAAATAGCATGCGAAAGGACATGGGCCACTCGCTTGTACAGTAATGGTGGGACATGAGACAGATTCCCCGAGTTATTTTTGAGTGACTTTATGATCTCAATGACTTCCGTGGGCTCAGTTGGTGCAAGATAGAAGGAATTAGGGAAATTTCCATCTAGGTAGTCCCCGGCATGGGCATTGGTATGTGGGATTTTACTGGCGAGATTAGATCCTATGTTTGAGAAGAAGTCGTTTATCTTGTTTAGCTGTGTCAGTGGGATGTAGTGGTGTTTCATTAGGTTTAGTTAGGACAATATTCTTGGTTTTTCTCAGTTTGTGGGTCCCTAGAATCTGAGAGAGTGTTTTCCAGGTCTTTTTTATATCTCCTCTAGTGTCTGTGAATCTACTGGAGTAGTATAGTTGTTTGGCTTTTTTTATTACTTTGGTGACAGCTGATGAATAGTGTTTAAGAGTATCTTTGTGTATTAAGCCCTGTCTATATTGCTTTTCATCTAGTAGGGACTTCAGCGCCGGCGTTGGTGTACAGATGTTTGCTCAGGGAGTAAGACACCTGGCTGTGCCCTTTTAGGCCTGAGGTCCGCTTGACCTAAGTTGGGAAGTTCATGTTCCATTTCTCTTTCCGGAGGAAACAGATTTGGGCAGTAATTTTTTATTAGGACTTCGGGAAGAAAGGCTCAATAAAACGTTAGCTTTGGTGGCCCTGAATACCACCACCACAACAACAACGATAATTGGAGATATTATAGTTTGTTAAGATACGTTGTGTAAGAGGCGGAACTAGATACATGATGGTTAACTGTCCGTTATTGAGACAACTTCATGGTGGTGTGAGCACCAGAATGAAGCTCTTGGTAAGGTAGTACAAAGGACTTAGAGGAAGTACCTCTTAGCAGCTCACAGAATAGTTTGTATACATTTTTATTTGTTATTTTTACAGACTTAATCCTCCCCCAAAGGAGGTTCCTTGATGCTGGTGAAGGGCTTTTAATTAAAGGAATTGGGCCTGTAATATAATTTCATGAATCGAGTCTGAATGCCTTCCAGTTCTCCAGGAGTTGGATGACCCTTACGGGTTTAGTGCTTTCTGTTGCTGTAAAAATAAAATAAATAAAGCGTATAAGGGAAGGAAGATTACTATAGTAATAAAAAAGTGTTAAACCCAGTACGTTCATCTAATTATTTTTTAACTAGTGTTTATAACATTTAAAGGTTTACATCCCCTCAAGGAAGGTTCCTTGATGTTGGTGAGGGGCTCTTGATTTAGGGAATTGGATCTGTGCTCCAGTTCCCCGAATTAAGCCTGAATGCCTTCCACATCCCCCCCCCAGGCGCTGTATAATCCTCCGGGTTTAGCGCTTCCCCCTTGATTATAATAATAATAAAGGTTTACATAAAAGTCTCCTGTTATCCTAACTATATACCATAATCTAATCACATTCCTCACCAAATTCAGTAGCTCTACTAGACAACCTATCAATTTTGTTATTACTACATGTATGGCTATTATAATCATATTGCTGTTTGGTCATACCTAGTTGTGTATATATGTTGATGGTATTATATACCAATAAATATGTTAATAAGACATAGTGTGCGGTTTATAGCATTTTATTGAGTTGTTTCATCCATCAGGGATGTGATCAATAAAGACCCTAGCAGATGAAATTTTTTTTCAATAAACTGAATATTAACATACCTAGTCATTTGTATACTATGACTAGTTAGAAGATTGATAGACTACCATCTAGGTAGGCACTACTATCCTGTCAAAAGAGTGTGAAACAGGTAACTGTTAAATACGTACTTTGCACTTTAACAGGATTACTGGCCTTTACTTTTTGTCTCATGTACGTATATGTAAGATAACAGTTAGCTCTACACACTTTTAATTGCATTCAGTATATACTTATCTTTACTTTTCTGTTTGTTAATACAGCAATTCAGTTTTTATTCCTGTATTGTTTCCTTTCCAGTTTGTTAGGCCTAATCAGAGACTGAGCTATGGGGCATATTGTATAGAGCTGCTACTTCTCCAATTTTATCTAATGTTAGCGAATTTTATCACTTTTCTTTTAATTTTCATTTGGTTGTAAATTTTTGTTGCACACAGTGATATTAATTGCATCAAATTGCTCTTATTTTCAGGGAGCCATCAGTGAAACTCAAAGTAATAAAAAGGCCTTTAGATGGTTTTCTGCCAATAATGAGAAAGAGAAGCCCACATGTAATGTTGGTACTATTGGCCACGTGGATCATGGGAAAACTACCCTTACAGCAGCTATCACTAAAGTTCTTCAGAAGACTGGACTGTCAAGTTTTGTTTCTTATGATCAGATAGATCGCGCACCAGAGGAAAAACAACGAGGCATAACTATTAATACAGCACACATTTCCTATTCCTCATCACTGAGGTGAGTATATTCCTATCTTTGCTGCTTTGATTTCACTCTTAACCTTTAACTTTTTATCTCAGATATGCTGTACTTATTTACTGTTTTGCTTCTTGATGCTCCATCCCATCCTCCAATATATCTCAGAACAAAACTACTCTCAAAATAATGATTGCAGTCATCACTTAATTAGAAGTAAGACACATGTACAATACAAGATTTCTTTATTGATGAAACACTGCCTGCACCACAAAACTGAAGTGGGAAAAACATGAGGGGAAATTTCTAAATTGAATTGTGGACAATAAATTGAAATCACTGTAATACTCGTGTTCAACATATCTAAAAAAATTCAGACTGTAGGGATGCTCTAAGATTTGCTAGTATGTTCCTCAATCTATACTACTATAGTTATTACCTCACATGTAAGATTTGCACGTAGGGACCACTTCGACAGTCCACTTCAAACAAATTATCACTCAGCAGAAGGCAGTTGTCACAACCATCCCCAAATCTAAATGTAGGCAACAGACTGTATCCATACTCAAGTCTCTAAACCTTCCTAATATGAATGCCATTCATACTGCTATTCAGTTCATGTCTTTAGAACTGAATAGCTGATGCATTCCAGTGAAAAATTGTAACAGAACAAAGGCATCATACTGGAAACAAATCCTCTTTGATGTTTCTCATGTTCCTTTGAACCTCTGAAGAAGCTGAAACTTAAAGGGTCAAAAATGTGGAATAATTTATCAGATGAGTTAAATAATTTTAACATGGTGACTAAACTCACATAATAGCTAAAAAAAATGACTGTATTCCTAAATAGTCCAATCATTTAAAACTTTTTAAAATCTAATAAAAAAAGTTTCTGTACATACTACGTATTACGTTGTTTCATTTACTGCTGTCTTTTTAATTACACCCTGTACTCCAGTCTTTCTTAGGTTTTCCCCCAATTAATAAATTTATCAACTATCTTTAACCTTTATCACATCATTATTATTGCTGTATTGTATTACTTTTCATTACACTGTACCATGACTTTTATCCAGCCCATCCAACTCTTAATTATGACCTGTACATAGTTTAATAATATTTCCAACTAGTTTTATTTACTTGTAATATGTGGTGAAAATGTATATGTATATAGTAGTATATATACTGTATCCACTGTATATATACTGTGTATATTTTTTCCTATTTACCTGTCAATTCTATGTACTAAATGCATAAGCTAAAACAGCTCCACAGCCATGGGAAAGGGGAATTGATAATGTAGACAGGGATAGGTTGTTTAAGAGGCGAGAAACGGAAACTCAAGGACACTACTGGAAGTTAAAATCACAAATGAACCATAGGAAATTCTATTATTTCTTCAGTTTCATAATGGTTGAGAAGTGGAATGATCTTAGTGAGGAAGTGGTGAAGGGGATCCATACAAAGTTTAAAAGCAGTTACGATAGGGCCCACTAGCTATGTGGAAATGAATCTGCAGAGTGGCAAATTAAGAGGTGGGGCCAGGAACTGAAACTCGACCCCTGCAACCACAATTAGGTAAGTTTTTTTTTTTTTTTTTTTTTTCCAACAAGTCAGCCGTCTCCCACCGAGGCAAGGTGACCCAAAAAAGAAAGAAAATCCCCAAAAAGAAAATACTTTCATCATCATTCAACACTTTTACCACACTCACACATTATCACTGTTTTTGCAGAGGTGCTCAGAATACAACAGTTTAGAAGCATATACGTATAAAGATACACAACATATCCCTCCAAACTGCCAATATCCCAAACCCCTCCTTTAAAGTGCAGGCATTGTACTTCCCATTTCCAGGACTCAAGTCCGACTATATGAAAATAACTGGTTTCCCTGAATCCCTTCACTAAATATTATCCTGCTCACACTCCAACAGATCGTCAGGTCCCAATTATCATTCATCTCCATTCACTCCTATCTAACACGCTCACGCACGCTTGCTGGAAGTCCAAGCCCCTCGCCCACAAAACCTCCTTTACCCCCTCTCTCCAACCCTTTCGAGGACGACCCCTACCCCTCCTTTCTTTCCCTATAGATTTATATGCTTTCCATGTCATTCTACTTTGATCCATTCTCTCTAAATGACCAAACCACCTAAACAACCCCTCTTCTGCCCTCTGACTAATGCTTTTATTAACTCCACACCTTCTCCTAATTTCCACACTCTGAATTTTCTGCATAATATTTACACCGCACATTGCCCTTAGGCAGGACATCTCCACTGCCTCCAACCGTCTCCTCGCTGCTGCATTTACCACCCAAGCTTCACCCCCATATAAGAGTGTTGGTACTACTATACTTTCATACATTCCCTTCTTTGCCTCCATAGATAACGTTTTTTGACTCCACATATACCTCAACGCACCACTCACCTTTTTTCCCTCATCAATTCTATGATTAACCTCATCCTTCATAAATCCATCTGCCGACACGTCAACTCCCAAGTATCTGAAAACATTCACTTCTTCCATACTCCTCTTCCCCAATTTGATATCCAATTTTTCTTTATCTAAATCATTTGATACCCTCATCACCTTACTCCTTTCTATGTTCACTTTCAACTTTTTACCTTTACACACATTCCCAAACTCATCCACTAACCTTTGCAATTTTTCTTTAGAATCTCCCATAAGCACAGTATCATCAGCAAAAAGTAACTGTGTCAATTCCCATTTTGAATTTGATTCCCCATAATTTAATCCCACCCCTCTCCTGAACACCCTAGCATTTACTTCTTTTACAACCCCATCTATAAATATATTAACCCTTTGACTGTTTTCGACGTATAAATACGTCTTACGAGCCAATGTTTCTGACGTATATATACTCAATAATTCTAGCGGCTTCAAATCAAGTGGGAGAAAGCTGGTAGGCCCACATGTGAGAGAATGGGTCTGTGTGGTCAGTGTGCACCACATAAAAAAAATCCTGCAGCACACATTGCATAATGAGAAAAAAAAAACTCTGATCGTTTTTTTTGGAATAAAACGCCAACTTTGATGTGTATTTTCGTATAGTATTTATCGTTGTATTCGCGTTTTCATGGTCTTAGGTGATAAAATGGAAAACATATTACAGAAACAGAGATGATTTTCATTACTTTTACAATGAAAACGACCTTGAAACTGAGCTCAAAGTAGCGGATATGTTCGATTTTTACCAATGTTCAAGAGTAAATAAATCACACCACACGTCCAATACACGTCAACTGGGGAGTCTAATATTCTTTCACTAGTGCACTGATATTATTTATACCATTTTTACAATAATGCAGTCGTCTGCATAACAGTAAATTTTGTATTTTTTTGTATGAATAAAAAATCAAAATAGAAAGCAATAATAATATAAGAGGGGCCTAGAGATGTGACTAATGAACAGAGCATATGTTATTTTAGTGCCACGAATGTCTACCTTGTTTATTCTGGACCCTATTTTGAAATTGGCATCTTTTTTATTTTGCGTGAAATTGGCCAAATTGCCAATTTCTGACCACCATATTGGGTAGTCCAAATTAGTAAATGGGAGGTTTCTTGTACTCAGCTGATAGATAAAATGGAGTTCTAAAGAAATAGCTATGAGTTTGGTCAACTGGAACAATGGAATTGGCTGAAAATAGGGCTCAAAGTCGGCGAAATCGCCGATACGCATATGTCGCCGAGACCGCTAACTTCGCGGGAGCATAATTCCACGAGTTTTCGACCAAATTTCGAACTTTTGGTGTCATTACCATCGGGAAAAGATTCTCTATCATTTCATAAGAAAAAATAATTTTTTTTTTTTCAAAAATTGAGCGACATAGAATGACAGTTTCAGAGAGGGGCCTGAAACAGTCAAAGGGTTAAACAACCATGGTGACATTACACATCCCTGTCTAAGACCTACTTTTACCGGGAAGTAGTCTCCCTCTCTTCTACACACCCTAACCTGAGCCTCACTATCCTCATAAAAACTCTTAACAGCATTTAGTAACTTATCACCTATTCCATATACTTGCAACATCTGCCACATTGCTCCTCTATCCACTCTATCATATGCCTTTTCTATATCCATAAATGCAATAAAAACTTCCCTACCTTTATCTAAATACTGTTCACATACATGTATATGCTTCAATGTAAACACTTGATCTACACATCCCCTACCCACTCTGAAGCCTCCCTGCTCATCCGCAATTAGGTAAGTACATATATATATAGGCTCAAGTATACATGCACATACACATATTATATATTTTGGTGTATTAGAAACTTGACTTTTCTGCACTCTTCCTTGTGGTACAGGTTATAGAATAAAGATATCCTTCTTGGATCATGCAGTAGCTGAAACAAGTCTAATTATTTCATTCAAGTCAAATTGCTTAACCCTTGTGGGTCAGAGACTGCCAGAAACATGAGAGGTAATCAGGTTTGATCCAAGATGGTAGCTCTAATTGCTTGGATAAAAAGTCCTTTACCAACATCATAGCACCCCCATGGAGGATAAATTATTGTATGACCCATGTTCTGTTTATGTTATGACCCATGTTCTGTTTATTTATATGTAATTGCCACTACACTACTGTACAGTATTATATAAATACATGTATGTGAAATATGCATATGTGAAAATAAGAAATAATAGCATTTCATTTTTGATATTTTATACATTTTATTAGACACTATGCACACACAGACTGCCCAGGGCATTCCGATTATGTGAAGAACATGATTTCTGGAGCATCTCAAATGGATGGAGCCATTCTAGTTGTAGCGGCAAGTGACGGACAAATGCCACAAACTCGAGAGCACCTCTTGTTAGCTAAGCAAGCAGGAGTGAAAAAAGTTGTGGTATTTGTTAATAAGGCAGACCTAGTGGATGAAGATGTATTAGAACTGGTGGAGATAGAGGTTCGAGAGTTACTGGAAGATTACGGTTATGATGGTATTGATGCACCCTTTGTGAATGGATCTGCTCTGCTTGCCCTACAAGGAGATCAGGGACCATATGGAGAAAGCAGCATTCAAAAACTTGTGAAGGCTCTGGATGAATACATAACAATTCCAACTCGAGATCTTACGTCTCCGTTCTTACTTCCCATAGACAATTACTTTACCGTGCCAGGTCGTGGATCAGTTGTTACAGGAACTCTTAAACGAGGTATCATGAGAAAAGGAGAAGCAGCTGAATTACTTGGATTTGATCGCCACATCAAGACTGTTCTTAATGACTTGCAGGTGAGAATTTTGGCAAAAAAGTTAAATGACAAAATATTAATCATATACGTGTACAGTATTTCATTGTAACACTAGACATAGTTTTTTTTTTTTTTTTTTTTTTCAACAAGTCGGCCGTCTCCCACCGAGGCAGGGTGACCCAAAAAAGAAAGAAAATCCCCAAAAAGAAAATACTTTCATCATCATTCAACACTTTCACCACACTCGCACATTATCGCTTTTTTTTGCAGAGGTGCTCAGAACACAACAGTTTAGAAGCATACACATATAAAGATACACAACATATCCCTCCAAACTGCCAATATCCCAAACCCCTCCTTTAAAGTGCAGGCATTGTACTTCCCATTTCCAGGACTCAAGTCTGACTTTATGAAAATAACCGGTTTCCCTGAATCCCTTCACTAAATATTACCCTGCTCACACTCCAACAGATCGTCAGGTCCCAAGTACCATTCGTCTCCATTCACTCCTATCTAACACGCTCGCGCACGCTTGCTGGAAGTCCAAGCCCCTTGCCCACAAAACCTCCTTTACCCCCTCTCTCCAACCCTTTCGAGGACGACCCCTACCCCTCCTCCCCCTCCCCCTATAGATTTATATGCTTTCCATGTCATTCTACTTTGATCCATTCTCTCTAAATGACCAAACCACCTCAACAACCCCTCTTCTGCCCTCTGACTAATACTTTTATTAACTCCACACCTTTTCCTAATTTCCACACTCCGAATTTTCTGCATAATATTTACACCACACATTGCCCTTAAACAGGACATCTCCACTGCCTCCAACCGTCTCCTCGCTGCTGCATTTACCACCCAAGCTTCACACCCATGTAAGAGTGTTGGTACTACTATACTTTCATACATTCCCTTCTTTGCCTCCATAGATAACGTTTTTTGACTCCACATAAAATCTCAACGCACCACTCACCTTTTTTCCCTCATCAATTCTATGATTAACCTCATCCTTCATAAGTCCATCCGCCGACACGTCAACTCCCAAGTATCTGAAAACATTCACTTCTTCCATACTCCTCCTCCCCAATTTGATAACCAATTTTTTTTATTAAATCATTTGACCCCTCACCTTACCTTTCTATGGTTCACTTTAACTTTCTACTTTACACACATTCCCAAACTCTTTCACAAAACCTTTGCAATTTTTCTTTAGAATCTCCCATAGCACATTATATCAGCAAAAAGTAACTGTGTCAATTCCCATTTTGAATTTGATTCCCCAAAATTTAATCCCACCCCTCTCCTGAACACCCTAGCATTTACTTCCTTTTCAAACCCATCTATAAATATATTTAAACAACCATGGTGACATTACACACCCCTGTCTAAGACCTACTTTTACCGGGAAGTAGTCTCCCTCTCTTCTACACACCCTAACCTGAGCCTCACTATCCTCATATGAACTCTTTACAACATTTAATAACTTACCACCTATTCCATATACTTGCAACATCTGCCACATTGCTCCTCTATCCACTCTATCATATGCCTTTTCTAAATCCATAAATGCAATAAAAACTTCCCTACCTTTATCTAAATACTGTTCACTAAAATGGTATAAAATACCAACAGGTTGTTAGGTAAGACACATATGCAGCAGTTAGGTATCTTTATTTCGAAACATTTCGCCTACACAGTAGGCTTCTTCAGTCGAGTACAGAAAAGTTGATAGAAGCAGAAGAGACTTGAAGACGATGTAATCAGTCCATCACCCTTAAAGTTTTGAGGTGGTCAGTCCCTCAGTCTGGAGAAGAGCATTGTTCCAAAGTGTGAAAAATATGATATTTGTTTCAGATTTGGAACAATGCTCTTTCAGACGAGGGACTGACACCTCAAAACTTTAGGGTGATAGACTGATTACATCCTTCAGTCTCTCTGCTTCTATCAACTTTGTAAAAAAAACCTGAAGAAGCCTACTGTGTAGGCGAAACGTTTCGAAATAAAGTTACCTAACTGTTGCATATGTGTCTTACCTAACAACAAATACTGTTCACATATATGCTTCAATGTAAACACTTGATCTACACATCCCCTACCCACTCTGAAACCTCCTTGCTCATTCCGCAATCCTACATTCTGTCTTACCTCTAATTCTTTCAATTATAACCCTACCGTACACTTTTCCTGGTATACTCAGTAAACTTATTCCTCTATAATTTTTAGTCTCTTTTGTCCCCTTTCCCTTTATATAAAGGGACTATACATGCTCTCCGCCAATCCCTAGGTACCTTCCCCCCTTTCATACATTTATTAAACAAAAGTACCAACCACTCCAACACTATATCCCCCCCTGCTTTTAACATTCTGTCATGATCCCATCAGTTCCAGCGCTTTACCCCCTTTCATTTTACGTAATGCCTCACGTACCTCCCCCCACACTACATTCTCTCTTCTTCACTCCTAAAAGATGGTATACCTCCCTGACCAGTGCATGAAATTACTGCCTCTGTTTCTTCCTTAACATTTAAAAGTTCCTCAAAATATTCTCGCCATCTACCTAATACCTCCATCTCCCCATCTACTAACTCCCTACTCTGTTTTTAACTGACAAATCCATACTTTCCCTAGGCTTTCTTAACTTGTTTAACTCCAAAATTTTTTCTATTTTCATTAAAAATTTCTTGACAGTGCCTCTCCCACTCTATCATCTGCCTCTCCTTTTGCACTCTCTCACCACTCTTTTACCTTTCTTTTTACTCTCCATATACTCTGCTCTTCTATAACACTTCTGCTTTGTAAAAACCTCTCATAAGCTACCTTTTTCTCTTTTATCACACCCTTTACTTCATCATTCCACCAATCACTCCTCTTTCCTCCTGCCCCCCCCCTCCTATAACCACAAAAATTCTGCCCCACATTCTAATACTGAATTTTTAAAACTATTCCAACCCTCTTCAACCCCCCCCACTACTTATCTTTGCACTAGCCCACCTTTCTGCCAATAGTCACTTATATCTCACCCGAACTTCCTTAGTTTATACACTTTCACCTCCCTCTTACTTGTTGTTGCCACCTTCCTCTTTTCCCATCTACCTCTTACTCTAACTGTAGCTACAACTAAATAATGATCCGATATATCAGTTGCCTCTATATAAATATGTACATCCTGGAGCCTACCCATCAACCTTTTATCCACCAATACATAATCTAATAAACTACTTTCATTACATGTTACATCATACCTTGTATATTTATTTATCCTCTTTTTCATAAAATATGTATTACTTATTACCAAATCTCTTTCTACACATAGCTCAATTAAAGGCTCCCCATTTACATTTACCCCTGGCACCCCAAATTTACCTACTTCTCCCTCCATAACATTTTTACCCACATTAGCATTGAAATCCCCAGCCACCATTACTCTCACACTTGATTCAAAACTCCCCACGCATTCAATCAACATTTCCCAAAATCTCTGTCTCTCCTCTACACTTCTCTCTTCTCCAGGTGCATACATGCTTATTATAACCCACTTTTCACATCCAATCTTTATTTTACTCCACATAATCCTTGAATTAATACATTTATAGTCCCTCTTTTCCTGCCATAGCTTATCCTTCAACATTATTGCTACTCCTTCTTTAGCTCTCTTTTATTTATTTATTTATTTATTTAGTAATTTGAGCATACATACAGAGGTACAAAAAAATACAGGTAAGAGCAGCATGCCAAAGCCACTTATATGCATAGCATTACAGGCTGGCTTAAAATTAACTTAAGATTAACTAAGCAATGATGAAATCAGTGATAAAACATTATTGTAAACAGATAACTATAAAGCACAAATGAGTATTACAAAGACAGGTCATATGGTTGCATGCATTGCTGTACATTCAGTCGAATGGAGTATTCTGTTAGATTGGGTTTTAGGTTTAACATTTATGTGATATAATTGTGAGAAACATTTAATCCCATTTATTCCTCTCCACTGAAACTCTTCCCACCCCCTTCAGCTTTGTTTCACTTAAAGCCAGGACATCCAGCTTCTTCTCATTCATAACATCCACAATCATCTCTTTCTTATCATCTGCACAACATCCACGCACATTCAGACTTCCCACTTTGACAATTTTCTTCTTCTTATTCTTTTTAGTATTCTTTACAGGAAAAGGGGTTACTAGCCCATAGTTTATGACTGAAAATTATAAACCTGGATACTTTCAAGATTGGATATTCCTGTGAAGAGAGATGGTAAAATTGAGGAAATCCATAATTATACAGATTTAACCAGTTGTTTATCTGCTGGGCTACCTACATAAGAGTTTTGTTGAACACATAGGCTAAGTCAGTCTGGCAGTGAACTTGCAAATGTACACAACCAGCAGTTCAGTCCTGAGTTTTACACAATTTATTACCTTGATAATATGGTATATTATACAATTTGTTACTTTAATGATATGATGTAATGCTTATTCCAGGGTAGTAATGTAAGAGAAATTGTATTATCAGTCTTGTTATGCATTTGCTCAAAGCAGAAGCAAGTTATAAAAATTGGATATATTTTTCATGTGATATGGCAAAGTACTGTATACATACATATTATATGAGCCAGTAATATGTATAATTGTTACAAAAAAATTTAATTGCTTAGCCATTGTGTATACTGCAATTAAAAGAAACTTACCTAAATATTTATTGAGTATTTTTTATACAACTTTGTATTTCCATTCATAGGTATTCAAGAAGTCCACACCAATTATAGAGGCTGGACAGAATGTGGGTGTTTTACTTCGAGGTGTCAAAAATGAAGTGCTTAGTAGGGGTATGACCCTGTGTGCCAGTGGCTCACAGAAATGTCACAACAGGTCAGTAGAAAATTTTGACGAAGAGATTCCTGAGTGTAATAATTTTCCTTTCATGTAGAAATATTTTCTTAAATTATACTTGTTATGATGAAGCCATTAGTTAAACACATACATGCAGACAGTGCATTGTACTGTACTGTGTGCTGTTTTTATTATACTCACATAAAGCTATACCTGTATGGGTCATATAACACCTGGGGAATAGAAGGTAATCAGGTTTGAGCCAAGGGGAAGTTAACTCCAATTCCTTTGATCAAGTGTCCTTCAGCATCACCCCCCCCCCCCTATAAACAAGTATACATGATGAATTATAATCATGGGGAGCACTAAACTCATGAGGGCTATACAGCATTTAAGAGATGGGACATAATCCAGTTTGATCCAAGAAGAGGGTGGGCCCTATTTCTTAGACCAACAGCCTTTTACACAGTAATCACTTGTGTACTATTATAGTGGACTTAGTTAAAATGTTGAGGTTAGGACCTTCAGAATGGAGTGTTTTATATAGCAACAGTAGCACAAAGAGAAGTTCATTTGTCAGTACAAATAGTCACAGATTAAGAGCTGCAGTAAATTTTAATGAATAGGTTTAATGTCCTTGCTTTTAGACTGAAAGATGAAGGATGAGCTGGAGTTTTCAAGTTTGATTTGAGGAATGAAAGGAAATTCTTATATTCATGGAGAAAAGCTCATTTCATAAGAAGTCATACAGCTCTTGGGGAATGGAAAGTAATATATTCATGGAGAAGAGCTCACCTCATAAGAAGTCATAGAGCTCCTGGGAAATGGAAGGTAATCTGGTTTAATTCAGGGAAAGTGAGGGGGCAACTTTGATGCCTCAAATCAAGAGCCCTTCACCTTAGCATTTTACCCCATCTTTTGAATTTTTAAATAAATGCATAATTTTATAACATAGGTTGTGAATGTTGTGGTGAGGAGGAGGCTAGAGGCAGTGGAGATGTCACGTCTGGGGGCACTGTGTGGCGCGAATATTATGCAGAGTGTTCGTAGTTTGGAAATTAGGAGGCGGGTTATTTGTGTATCGTTCCAGTCACAGTATTGTGCCTTTTTTCGTTATTTACTAAAAAGTATTACTCAAGGGGCTGAGGAGAGGTTGTTGAGGTGGTTTGGTCATTTAGAGAGGGTGGAGCAAAATAGGATGACTTGGAGGGTGTATAAATCTGTAGTGGAGGGAAGGCAACGTTGGGGTTGTCCTAGAAAAGAATGGAGGGAGGGGGTGAAGGAGCATTTTGTGTGCAAGGGGCTTGGACAGACAGAAAGCATGTGTAAGTATGTTAGATAGGAGTGGAGACAAATGGATTTTGGGACTTGATGTGCTGTTGGTTTGTGAACAGGGTAATATTTTGTGAAGGAATTAAGGGAAACTGGTTAGCTGGACTTGAGTCCTGGAGGTGGGAAGTACAATGCCTGCACTCTAAAGGAGGGGTTTAGGACATTTGATATTTAGAATGACATCTAAACTGGTGTGTCTGCGTGTGTCTGGCAAGACAGCAATAGTGTGAATGACAGTGTAAATGTTTCTTTTTTTGGATCGCCCTGCCTTGGTGAGAGATGGCTAGCATGCTAAAAAAAGCTATTTACCATAGTTCCAGTGCTCCTCAAATCCCAGTCCCTCTTTTTTGCTATTGCACGAAATGACAAGTCATGTTGACAGTTATTTTCATGGGGAAGTGCTAAACCAATAGTAGTCATAGTGCCTGGGGAATGGACAGTAATAGTATCAGATTTAAGCCATGGAAAGGGAGGGTAGGCTTGTTCCTTGATTGTTGCACTAACAGTCGTTTTAGGTGGTCCTGTCCATCATAGCATGCTGTCTTCATGTTTGACCTCCCCTTCTGTTCATTTACTGCTTACTCTATCAGTCTTCTCTGAATGCCTCATCTTCAGTGCATATTTTTACAACTACCTTACCACACAAAAAATTATTGTTTTTTGCTCATTCAGCATGTTACATGACTATAAAAATTCACTTTTCAGATTTGAAGCTGCCATATATCTTCTAAGCCATGCAGAAGGTGGCAGATCTCGTCCACTAGTTTCTCCTTACATGCAACAGCTTTTCAGTGATACTTGGAATGTTGCTTGCAGAGTTGACCTGCCAGACGGTATACACATGTTGATGCCAGGTGAGTTACATGGCTTATAAAAGTAAACAGAAGTCTTATTCACAAATATTTGTCATTTTGATGTAGAGATAGTCTTTCTTTTAGAGAAAGAGTAAATATATGCATATTTTAAAAACACTGATAGAAGCGTTATAGTTTGATTTTTTGTAAATATTTTATAGTACAGTACAGGTATCCTTTTAGATATCAATACAGTAATTTATACAATGCCATCAAGTACTGATAAGTGAGTGGAGGCCAAGAGCTGTCAATGAGTGATTTACAGCTTTAACCCTTAAATTGGGCACAACATACTGTACATGTACATATAAATATGTGGGCAACCAAGTGTGACATATTTTATTGTATATGCAAAAGTAATAAGTGGACTCAAGTCATATCCTAATGTAATTTAAGTTGGAAAAGCATCACAGAATAGTTGAAAATAGCAATGTCCAGTGGTGAACCATTAATAGAAGATGAAGAAGCAACAGTAGAAGAAACAAAAAACAACATAATCTGAGACAGGAAAACTCGGAACACTGCGCAGTAAACCAAACTGCAACTTCAACAGAAAAAGGAGGCAGTGAAATAAATAGGTATACCAGGGAAATCTGCAAATGTGTTTGCTGTAGATGCATACCTACACATCAGAAAGTGTTCGAATATGTTACAAAACGAATGGTATTATTTTGATAAAGATTCAAAGTATTTTCACCCTGTGATGTGCAAATCTTTACAGACCAGATAAGTTAAGACAGTTGCTCAAAATTTCACACAAAAAGAACGTGCTGCAAAATTATGTATGAAGAAAAAATGCATGATAATTTTTTTTTTAGCCAAAGAAATGATCTAAAGGAAGTAAAATGAGTGAAAAAAAAAAAATGTGCTTCAATGATACGTGATATTGGAGCACAACAAACCAGTCTTTTGCATGACAGTGTTAAACCTCCAACAGTACAACCAGTACTAGAATTCAAGGCACTTAATAGCCCAATAACCCAAACTTCTCAGTTGATAAATCCTCCTGCCGTTTTGTTAACATTAAAGGTTTAAAAAAAAATCAGTTAATGGGCTCCTTACAGAAACAAAGGCAATGTGTGAAGCATTCACATAAACACATACAAAGGAAGCTTTGGACAATAAGATATGAGTGCAAAACTACAATGTACATTATATAAATGTGTGAGAGTACTTAAGTCACAAGGAGAAGTACTCACTTTGTTATACAGACCTTTTGAAGTTATCAAATGAGATAGTGGAAGTACTAAGTACTGTATAAAAGAGGAGGAGAAGAATCTAGTAATTATCCTTGCATATAAATCATATTAATGGCAGAGGAATTCATGGAACAGATAAAAAAGACATCAGTATACAATTTTCAAGGCAGTTACATTATCTCCTTGGAGATTTCAACCTACAAAAGTTAAATGGAAGATAGTAGACAACAGCATTGCACTATAATAGTACCTGGAAGCACAGTTGTTGAGGCTCTAAAAATTTTAGTTTGCTTTAAACCAGGGGTGGGCAAACTTTTCAGTGCAGAGGTCACATTCAAACTGGGAACTGTACTTGTCTGATAATGCTTGTGTAACAGCTCATGTTTTCAACAGGGAAAAGTGAACAAAGTTTTGCTCATTCAGCTGCATATATGTGAGTATATGACTTGATCTTGGCAGGCCGCACGAAAACCTCTGGTGGACTGCATGCGGCCCATAGGCTGTAGTTGTCCCACCCCTTCTTTAAACCATCAGATAGCAAAACTTACCAGAATTGAAACTCTCCTTGATCTTCACAAACAATGAGGCACTAATCAAAGACATGAATACAGTATACAGTGGAACCTCTACTTGCGAGCGTGTCCACGTGCGAGTTTTTCCAAATACGAGCAGTCGATGGGTCGATTTTTTGCTTCCATACGCGAGCAAAATTTCCACAAGCGAGCAGACCTCAAGGCAGGTTCCTTGACACTGGTGAGGGACTCTTGCTCTTGATCTCAGGAATTGTATCTCATTTGTTTGTTGGACTATCTTATTAAAACTTGGGCAATGTATGATGGAAAGATGCTTCTTAACGTACACCAAAAATGAAAGAAATCTAAGCATAAATAATGGAGTTCACTTCTCAGCAATTAGCCACCCCTTAGCAGTAATTTTGAATGGTTTTTATGGTTGTATTCTCGTTTTTTTGGTCTCATTTGATAGAATGGAAGACATATTACAGAAATAGATATGATTTTGATTGTTTTCACAACGAAAAGTACCTTGAAATAGAGATCAACCTAGGAGAAATGGTCCATTGCTTGGCTGTTTCAGAGTAAACAAGTGACGTCACTGTCTATTCCAATATGCAGTCGTGAATGGGTTGACATTATTTATACAATTATTGCAATAAGGAATAACAGTAAATCTTATATTTTTTGTGTGAATAAAAATTACAAATTATTTATATAATTTGAAGGAGGGGTGTTAATGTTGCAGTTTAAAAACTGTAGTGTAAAGCACCCTTCTGGCAAGACAGTGATGGAGTGAATGATGGTGAAAGTTTTTCTTTTTCGGGCCACCCTGCCTTGGTGGGAATCGGCCAGTGTGATAATAAAAAAAAAAATAATAATAATAATAATATGTATAATAATAATAGGTATAATAATAATTGTATAATAATATACATATTACAATAATAATAATAATAATATGTATAATAATAATACATATACATATAATTATATGTATATTATTACATGTACTACATGTAATAATAGACAGCTTCAAAATGCAATCACTAGATGGCGGTGTTTACCACAACAAAGAGGGAGCAGTTGTGGCCGCCTCCACCTGTTACATAGACATATTTTATTCATTCTAGAGTATATATCATGTTTCTGTTATATTTATATTGTTTGTTATGTCATATTAGATGAATTGTGATAGATAAATAAGCCATATAGATGATATTAGCGAAATTATTCATGAAGTATTTTGCCCGGCCTCCAGACAAACTCTCGTCCACCTCCGACACCGCCCATACCACTAAATGAATGACATATTTTATTCATTCTAGAGTATACATCATGTTTCTATGTTATTCATAGTGTTTGTTATATCATATTAGATGAACTGTGATAGATAAATAAGCCATAGAGTTGATATTAGCGAAATTATTGAAGTATAAAATTCCACTGGAACAGATTATGTAATTGCATTTCAATTAATTTAAATGAGGAAAACTGACTCTGCAAACGAGCAAATTCAGTTGTGAGCAAGGTCATGGAACGGATTAAACTCGCAAGTAGAGGTTCCACTGTACTCTGATCATAACCTTAGTCAAGTACAGAAGAGCAAAAGTCCATGTATATAGAGAGCCTAAGAATTAGCTTCAATACATATAGTATCTGCAATGCCTGATACCCAGTCAGCATTTGCAACTTTCTCAATCTGGAAAAGGCTTATGAGCCTACCTGGCATTAAATTTTGTCCAGAACCCTTAGTTTAGGACTGAAGTAAGAGGGAGATGAAAGTGCATAATTAGACTAAGGGAAGAGGAAGTTCGGGTGAGATATAAACAGCTGTTGACAGAAAGGTGGGCTGGTGCAAGTATGAGTAGTGGGGGGAGGGGGGGGGGAGGGTTTGAATAGTTTTAAAAATGTAGGATTAGAATGTGGGGCAGAAGTTTGTGGTTATAGGAGGGTGGGTGCAGGAGGAAAGAGGAGTGATTGGTGGAATGATAAAGTAAAGGGTGTGATAAAAGAGAAAAAGGTAGCTTATGAGAGGTTTTTACAAAGCATAAGTGTTATAAGAAGAGTAGAGCATATGGAGAGTAAAAGAAAGGTATAGAGAGTGGTGAGAGAGTACAAAAGGAGAGCAGATGATAGAGTGGGAGAGGCACTGTCAAGAAATTTTAATGAAAATAAGAAAAAAATTTGGAGTGAGTTAAACAAGTTAAGAAAGTCTAGGGAATGAATGGATTTGTCAGTTAAAAACAGAGTAGAGGAGTTAGTAGATGAGGAGATGGAGGTACTATTGGGTAGATGGCGAGAATATTTTGAGGAACTTTTAAATGTCGACGAAGAAAGGGAGGTGGTAATTTCATGCACTGGCCAGGGAGGTATACCATCCTTTAGGAGTGAAGAAGAGCAGGATGTGAGTGTGGGGGAGGTGCGTGAGGCATTACAGTGGACCCCCGGTATTCAATGGCATCGGTATTCGATGCATTATATCGCAAAAAATTTTCCTCGGTATTCGATTGAAAACCCGGTATTTGATACGATTCATATGAGACCTGTCCACATGTGGCCTGAACTGCCCCTTGTGTGCCAGTGTTTACAAGCCAGCCAGTGTGCGCGCATCTAAGGATACATTCGGTACATTCCATATTATCCATATTATCACTGTGTTTGGTGCTTGTTTCTGCAAAATAAGTCACCATGGACCCCAAGAAAGCTTCTAGTGCCAACCCTGTGGTAAAAAGGGTGAGAATTAGTATGGAAATTAAGAAAGATTTTGAAGGGTTTGGGGCTAACCCTGAGAAGCCTATACCAGTTGTGGAATACATTGTGCCTACTTCAAAAATTAAGGAAATGTGTGCACAGTGGATTGAAGTGCAAACCTTTATGGATGAAAATCACCCTAACACAGCTATTACAATGACAATGTTGTGGCCCATTTTAGACAAATCATAAAGGAACGGGAGGTACAGAGCTCTATGGACAGATTTGTTGTGCGACAGAGGTCCAGTGACTCTCAAGCTGGTCCTAGTGCCATTAAAAGAAGAAGGGAAGTAACCCTGGAAAAGGACTTGCTACCTCAAGTCCTAATGGAAAGGGATTCCCCTTCTAAATACTAACACCTCTCCCCTCCTTCCATCCCATCAATCACCAGATCTTCATTAAAGGTAAGTGTCAATTATTTTATTGTTATTGTAATTATTCTATTGCATTAAACTTAATATTTCATGTAGTAAAAATTTTTTTTTCATACTTTTGGGTGTCTTGCATGGATTAATTTGATTTTCATTATTTCTTA